CGGGGGGGGGCTGGAATGGGCAGAGGCAGAGGGGCAGCAAAACACTGCTCCGATGCGGATGGGGTGGCCACTGCGCGCAGGGCAGGTGCCGGAACCCGGAGGGAGAGAAAGAATCCCAAGGTAGGGCAGGTGCGATGCCCTCAGGTAGCTCTCACCGGGCCTGGGCATTGCAGAGGAGGAAAGGCTTCCGGGAGGTGGAGCTGGGTCTAGAGACTGGGAGGTAGGGGAAACCAGGGGGGGAAGGTGTGTCAGGTGGAGGGACTGCTGTGAGCAAAGGCAGGGAAGGGGAGAGTGCAGAGCGGGAGGTGGAGACGGTTGGAAAGTCAGTTTGGAGCTGGGTTGGAGAGGGGCTTTGATGCCGGGTTCCAGTTTGGAGTTTATCTTGTAGCAGCAAAGTGCTCTGGACCTGCTCTGAGGACTAAATCGAGAAGGTAAAACCCAGCTGGGAACCCAAAGGGAAGAGCCTCACAGCCTCTGGTGTCCGGGGGCTCACTCCTTGACAAAGGCAATATCTCTGACATCCGCCCTTATGAGGCGCCCACAGAGCCTGTGACCCAGCTGGACTCACAGGGGAACCTCCTCTGTGTCCGGGGCTGGCAGGGTTGTGGAGCCTGGGCAGTTTCTTGACTCCCTCCGCCCCTCCTCATGTTCCTCACTTACTGGCATCAGGTTGCAGAGAGCTTCTGTTTCCTGCTGCCGCCCTGCCATAGGTTAGCAGCCTCCATATTCTGTTTGCTGTGCGCTGGGCCCTGCGGGAAGAGCATGAAGATGGATGCGGAGAGGCATTCCTAGGAGGGTTAAGACCTCAGGCCTCGGGCCTGGTGGGAGAATGCCTCGTCTGGACATGCTTTGCCCTGCTGCCCTCCCTCCCCAAACAGCACCCTATTTCTTAGCTCTTTCCAAGAGTTCAAATTATCCCTCCACCTGCTCATATCAGATCATGAGCTCCTGGAAGGCAGGGACTGTTATCTGACTCACCTCTGGCCCACAGGGCTTGGAGCAAAGCAGCCTAGGGACCATTTATTAGCCTACACTAAACCACAGGGCTGGTGGTGGGCAGGAAGACAAGAGGCCCAGCCAGACTGGCCACTGCCCTGGGCCTGCCATGTGCCACTGACGGCCATTATCTCTAGTCCTCACGGTAACCCTGACAGGTCTTGTACCTGTTTTACGGTTGGGGAAAATTGAGGTTCAGACTGTGAGTCATGTGCCCAGGATGACATAGCTAGGAAATGGGGCTGGAATCTGGGCTTCCTGGATTTCAGCCTGAGCCCTGGCATTCCTTCTTTCCGATGGTTTCCCTTCCATCCTGCAGTTCTGGTTCTGTTGCCTCACACCTGTCGTAAAAGCTGTCTGACCAGTTGCCTTTTTCAGGGCCCTCCTCACCTCTTTTGGCCTGCACAACATCCCAAGGGTGGCATCTATGGCATTGCCTCCCTGCCCAGGTGGCTCCTGCCAAGATTCAATCCAACTAGTGCTTCAGGCTTCATGGCTTTTGTGTTCCCTGCATGTGGCTCGCCCTCCAACTTTAACCCAGCACTCCTGCTCCACGCTCTCCTTCCTCTGGGCTTATGTCAAGTCCTGGGGCTGCAGAGTCAGGCAGGGGAGAGGCCTGTTTGCTTAAGAAACTTCACCTCTCATCCCTTCACGCTCAGTTCACAGGAATCCCTTCCTCGGTCCCTGCCCCCTCCTGGGCTCCTGGCCTCTGATCAACAAAAGTCCTTCTCCATGTTGAGCTGTTTGCCTCTCCATTGCAACCTCCTCCAGGAGATCTGACCGGCATCTGATAGGACTTCTGGTCACAGGTGGAAAAAGCTCAATTCAAACTGGCTTGAGCAAAAAGGGACTTTATTGACTTGGACCCGGAAACGTCCAGGAGTAATACTGGCTCAAACATGGCAGGATCCAGGATCCCCCTCTCCCCCATCTCCATCTTCCCATCCATCTGCCATCTCTTGGCTCTGCTTCCTTCTGGGTTGATTTTATTCTCAGAAGGCTGTCTCCCTGTAGAGGCTCCCAACAGTTTTTGGCATCCATCCAACCAACTTAGCAACCTCACAGAGTGCCTCTCCTAGAACCAGTCTCATTGGCTTGGCTTGGGTCATAGGCCCATCCTTGAACCTGGCACTGTGGCCAAGAGGATAGAATCAGGCCTTGGGCATATGCCCACCTCCTGGGGCGGGGGAGTAGAAGCAGCCTCACCTGGACCAAAGGAAAATGGGATTGTTAGAAGCAGATGAAGAGGGAGTGGATGATCTCAGGTCAAAACAACAGATATCTACCCCCTCTGCTCTTGTCCATCTCAGCAGGAAGGGGTGCCTCTTCCTGTGTTCTGATGGGCTTGTCATCGCCGGGCCGTTTGTTCTCTGTGTTTTGTGCTCTAGTTACCTACATTAGAGGCTTTACAAAAGCTGTTTCCATTGCCTTGGGGACACCTCTCTGCCCCTTCTCTCCCCCTCAAAGTGATATATGAGTTAATGGTACAAATGTTTAGAACAGGACTTGGCATGTAATAAACTTCAATAAGTGTTAGCTGGCAGGACACAGTAGCTCACACCTATAATCCCAGCACTTTGGGAGGCCAAGGTGGGCAGATTGCTTGAGCCCAGGAGTTAGAGACCAGCCCGGGTATCATAGCAAGACCCACCACCCCGTTTCTACAAAATAAAATTTTTTTAAAAATTAGCTGAGCATAGTGGTGCACACCTATAATCCTAGCTACTTAGGAGGCTGAGGTGAGAGGATCACTTGAACCCAGGAATTTGAGGCCATTGTGAGCTATGATTGCACCACTGTAATCAGCCTGGGTGACGCAAGACCCTGTCTCTAAAAATAAGTAAATGAATAAGTGTTAGCTGTTATCCTGCGGACTGTTACTACCAGCCCATCTATCTTTCCAGGCTTGAAGTCGTACAGTCCAGGCTGTGAATCTGGGCTCTGCTATTTACCAGCTGTGTGACATTGGGCAAGTTATTTTGCCTCTGAGTTTCTTCGTCAGCAAAAGGGTGTCATCCTAGCCTCCTGGGATTATTGGGAGAATTAGCCACCACAATGTGCAGTAGGTGCCTAGCACGGGGCATCCAGTAGATGGTAATTATTTTTATAATTGCTATTATTACCATTGTAAAACCTTTTCTGAACTTCCCAGTTAGAACTAATGTTTTCAGAACACTTCAATCCTGTATTCTAACTCTTTACTCTGGCTTTTCTGTCCCTATTGCTAACCAAGGAAGTGCTAGAGGGTAGGGCCCCAGGCCTTTTCATTGTTCTGTTCCTCCCTGAGTCTGGATGGCGGCATCTTTCCCAGCTCCCTCTCCCTGAAAGCAGGGCTGTGAGCTGCTCTGGGGATCCCTGGTGGGGCCAGCTCAGCCTCTCTTCTGTGCTTGCAGGTGCGGGAATGGAAGGAACAAGGCAGCAAGACCTTCATGTGCACCGGGCGCCCTGGCTGGCTCACTATCTCGCTGCGGGTTGGAAAGTACAAGAAGACGCACAAAAACATCATGATCAACCTGATGGACATTCTGGCAGTGGACACCAAGAAACAGGTGAGAGCAGCACAATTCCCTGACTCTGAGAGCAGGTAGGGCACTGCCCCGAGTGCAAGTGACTCACAGGGAGATGGTTTTAGCCAACATCATCCCAGACTCTGCCCACCATTGCGATCCTCAAGCCTCACAGCCACCAGAGATGGCCCATTTTGCAGGCGGGCAGACTAAGAGTTCAGGGAGACCCTTTGATTGTCTCTACTTCCACATGCTGAAGCAAGAGGATTGCCTGAGCCCAGAAGATCAAAGTTATAGTGAGCTATGATTGTGCCACTGCACTGCAGCCTAAGCAACAGAGCGAGACCCTGTCTCTTAAAGTTAAATTAAATTAAATTAAATTAAATTGTGTGCATTTTGATAAGTTTGGCATACATGTGCACCCATGAAACCATTACCACAATCCAAGCAACGAACATATACATCATGCCCCCAAATTTACCCAGGCCTCTTGCTAATCCCTTCCTCGAGCTTCTCCCTGCCTCTTCCCCCACATCCTTAGGCAAACAATGATCTGCTTTCAGTCACCATAAATAGTCTGTTTCTATAGTTTTGCATAAATGGAATCACCCAGTATTTTTTTTGGTCTAGCTTCTTTCACTCAGGATAGTTGTTTTGAGATTCATTCATGCTGAAGTATGTAACAATAGTACATTCTCTTTCACTGCTGAGTAGTTTTCCATTGTGGGCCTATATCACTGTTTATCTGTTCCCCTGCTGGTGGACATTTTGGATGGTTCCAATTTGAGGCTGTTACAAATAAAGTAGAACATTTGTAAACTGTCTTTGTAAGGACATAGGCTGTTTTTTCTCTTGGGCAAGTACCTGGGAGTGGAATGACTAGATCACATGGTATTTGTATATTTAACCTTTCGAGAAATTGCCAAATTTTTTTCAAAGTGGTTGTGCCATGGCCAGGTGTGATGGCTCACACCTGTAATCCCAGCACTTTGGGAGGTGGAGGCGAGAGGATTGCCTGAGCCCATGGGTTTGAGACCACCTTGGGCCCCTTGGCAAGACCTCATCTCTACAATAAATTTTAAAAAAATTAGCTGGGCATGGTGGCGCACACCCGTGGCTCCAGCTACTTGGAAGCCTGAGGCAGAAGGATCGCCTGAGCCCAGTAGGTCAAGGCTGTGGTAGCCATGAGCGTGCCACTGCACTCCAGCCTGGGTGACAGTAAGACGCTGACTCAAACAAAACAAAACAAGTGAAAAACAAAGTGGTTGTAGCACTTTGAAATATGCTCTGTATAATACCAGATATAATTTTAATATTCCTTCCAACACTGAGTATTCTTGTTGTTCCACAGTGTAATAAACTTGGTATGGGTAATCTTCTTAATTGTAGTCATTTTAATAAATGTGCAGTAGTTTCTCATTGTGGTTTTAATTTGTATTTCCCTAATGATTATTGATGCTGGACATCTTTTCATGTGTGTATTTGCCATTTGTGTATCTTCTTTGGTGAAGCCTATTCAAATCTTCTGTCAATGTAGAAAAATCATATTGTTATATATTCTAGAAATGTCCTTCATCAGTTACACGATTTGCAAATATTTTCTCTTAGTTTATAGCTTGTCTTTTGAAGATCAGAAGTTTTAAATTTTAATAAAGTTCAACTTTTTAATTTCTTCTTTTACACACTGTGTTTTTGATGTCTTATTTAACAAATCTTTGCCTAACCCATTGTCACAAAGGTTTTCTTGTACAATTATTTTCTAGAAACTATAAAGTGAAGCTATCTGGGCCTAGAGTGTTCTCCGTGAGCAAGTTTTTAACTACAAATTTAACTTATTTAATAGATATAGAGCTCTTCAGTTTATTCGTTTCTGCTTGAGGGAGCTTTGGTAGGTTGTATCTCAAAGGTATTAGTCCACTTCACTAAGTAGCATAATTTATTGACATAAAGTTGTCCTTTTAACGTCTGTAGACATATGTAGTTACATCATGTCTTTCATTCTTGATATTGGTATTTTGTGTCTGCTCTCATGTCTTCCTGCCCAGTCTGGCTAAAGCTAATCAATTTTATTGATCTTCTTTAAAAAGTAGCTTTGATTTCATTGATTTGTTTCTTTGTGCCTGTGTTTTGTTTTCTATTTAATCGATTTCCACTTTAGTCTTTGTTATTTCTTTTTTTTCTTATGGTGGGCTTAATTTTACTCTTTTTCTAGTTTTTTAAGGGTAAAGTTTAGGTCATTGCATTTGACCTTTCTTTTTCCTAATATAGAGGTTTAGTGTTATAAATTTTCTTCAAAGCACTGTTTTAGCGTGGCTCACTAATTTCGATATATTTTCTTTTTATTTTCATTCATTTCAGAATACTTTCTCACTTCCCTTTTGATGTCTGCTTTGACCCAGGGATGAAGTACATTGGTTTTCTTTTTATCACAGGTTTTGAGCAATTTTAATATGATGTGTCTTGGTATAGTTTTCTTCATAATTTTTGTGTTTGGAATTTATCATAATTTTTCACGAAATCTGGAAAATTTTTGGCCATTATTTCTTCAGATCTTTTTTCTGTCCCCTTCTCTTCCTCTCTTTGGGGGCTGCTGTTACGTACCTATGCAGCCACTTCAAGTTGTTCCACAGCTTCGCTCACTGAGGCACTGATCATTTTTCTTTTTTTTAATTTTTTTTTTCATCTTTCAAAACTCTTTTCTCTCTCTCTATTTTTTTGGGATAGTTTCTGTTGCTGTGCATTCAGGTTCACTACTCTTTTCTTCTGCAGTTTCTAGTTTGCTGTGTAGTCTCATCCAATGTATCTTTTTAAAAATTATTATTATAAAGATGTGGAGTACAATTCAGAGTTAGGTACACAAATGTGGATTATGCAGTATCCTTGTTGATGAGGTATGCCCCTTCCTCCCCTGACAGTTTCCCCCAACTGCCAATCCCACCCTCCCTCCCCTAACAGTTTCCCACTACTGCCAATCACTTTCTGGTAGTATTATAATTGTTCAAGGTCCACGAATGAGTGAGGACATATGGTACTCTATTCTTTGTTTCGGTGATAGATCACTGAGTACAATTGACTCTAAATCCGTCCAAGTTGCTGCGAAGTCCATATGTTTGTCCATCTTTATGGCATTGTAAGCCAACATGTCTTTGATTTCAGACATTGTGGTTTCATTTCCAGAAGTTGGATCTGGATCTTTTAAATATCTTTTAAAATATTTTTTAAGTGTCTCTACTTGAGTTTTGGAATATAGAAGATACAGTTATAATAACTGTTTTGATGTTCCTGTTTGCTAATTCTAATTTCTGTGTCCCTTCTGAGTCTGTTTTGCTTGACTGATTTTTCTCATGATGGGTTGAATTTTCCTGCCTCTTTGCCTCCCTGGTAAACTTTGATTGGATTTGGACACTGTGACATTCTGACATTTTACCTTGTTGGGGCTGAGTATTTTTACATTCCTCTAAATTTCAAGTTTTGTTCCAGAAGGCAGTTAAGTTACTTGGAAACAGTTTGATCCTGTTGGGTCTTGATATTTTAGATGGGGCCAGGGCAGCATTTAATCTTGGGTTAATTATTTCCCATTTCTGAGGCAAGATCATTCTGAGCGCTCTCCCCAATGCTCTGTAAATTGTGAGGTTTTCTATTCTGGCTGTGGGAACAGACACTGTCTCCTACCCTGTGTGAACCGCTTGGGCTGTTACCTGCTGTCTTTTCTGGTAGTTCTTTCCCTGGCTTCAGTCTTGGGCAACATCTCTGTGTGTGCACTGCTGGCCTCCACCCAGATTTCCCTCCCTGCACTGTCTCATTCCAGCAGTTGGCTGGACCATCCGTAGAGCTCGCTTTGTTTGTTCCCTACTTCTCAAGGATCACTACCTTTCATTGCTTATGTCCACTATGTTGAAAACTCTTATTTTATATATTTTGTCTGTTTTTTTTTTTAAGGCAGCAGGGTAAATATGGTCCCTGTTGCTCCTTTTCAGCTGTAAGTAGAAACCCTTGGGACGGCATATTAATGTGTACATTAAAAATCATTCAGCTGGGCTTAGTGGCTCAGCCTGTAATGCCAGCACTTTGGGGCTGAGGCAAGTGGATTGTCTGAGCCTGCAGGTTTGAGACCCGCCCTGGGCAACTTGGTAAGACCGCGTCGCTACAATAAATAAAAAATTAGCCGGGCGTGATAGCGCATGCCTGTGGTTCCAGCTACTTGGAAGGCTGAGGTGGGAGGATCACCGGAGCCCAGCAGGTCAGTGCTGGGTGGCCGTGAGCATGCCACTTCACTCCAGTCTGGACGATGTAGTGAGACTCCAACTCAAAAAAAATAAAAGTAAAAATCACTCTTTCCGAGAATATTTAATGATAAGGGATGATGGTCATAGTATAGTGTTAAATTTTCAAAAGGTAAGACAAAAAAGCATGTGTGTTTTTTGTTTGTGTGTGTTGTATTAAAATATGCAAAATAAGCTGGGTGCCATAATCCCATCTGTAATCCTACACTTTGGGAGGCTGAGGTAGGAGAATCACTTGTGGCCAGTTGTTCAAGACCAGCTTGGGTAACATAGTAAGATCCTGTCTCTACAAAAAATTAATTTAAAAAATGACAATAAAAATTTAGCATACAAAATAGCAGTATAGATGTGTGAGAAGAAAAACAAAAGAAATACACTTTGTTATTAACACTGGTAACTCTGAAGAATTAGGATAGATGATTTTTCTTTTCTTCATTTTTGCTGTATCATCCAAGTGAATGGAGTATTTCTCCTATAATCTAGAAAAAGAAAACCTAAATATTAAGTGTAAGACTATTTCAAGAAACGAGATTGAACACCAGCTATCCCAAAGTCAGAAGTCAGATTCACTGTAATTAAAGGCAGTGTAATATTCTAGAAAAAGCCCTTGAAGGCGAGGAATCACTGCATGGAGTATTTGGGAAGGTTTGAGATGACACCTTTTGTGTGCAGGGGTGCCTGGCCGCCTCCTTGTGACCCAGGGTCCCTTTTCTTGTGTGTCAACAGATTGTCCGTGTGGAGCCCTTGGTGACCATGGGTCAGGTGACCGCCCTGCTGACCTCGATCGGCTGGACTCTGCCCGTGTTGCCCGAGCTGGATGACCTCACAGTGGGTGAGGACTCCACGTCAGTGGGCAAGAAGAGTCGGAGGTTCCTAGGACGACAGCTGATGGCCTTGGCCACCTTCCATCTAGTCCCTGGATCACCACTATCTGTGATAGAAGTCACCCTGTCTCTTACTCACCTGCTCCAGTGACAGGGCGTTCACTGCCCTCTAGTCCATTTCTGAGCTGCTCAAGTTAGCAAATAGCACTTTAAAACTTCTGGCTCAAATCTGCTTCCCTGTGACTTGTGTCCATTCTCCAGTGCCACCCTGTGGAGCACACAGAATAAGTGCAGTCTCTTTTTCTCCCACAGGATTCACAGCCCCCAAAACCTTTTCCTCTCCAGGGGAAACACCTTCGGTGCCTTTACTGTTGCCACGGGACAGGACTTTGGCCACCTCTTCAGTCCCTGTTTTCATTAAAATCCTTAAAATGAGTGCACACAGGTTTCTAGGTTGAGGCTGGCTGGAGGTGAGGGTGTGAGCACCCTGGGCGGGGTCTGCCCATCCATCCCCTGCCTCTGAGGACACCCTCAGTTTCCCATCTATCCTAAGTCAACAGCCCCATTTCTGCCAGCTTCCCGTGCCTCCCTTGCCCTAGGGGGTCCCACAGCTCCAAGCCACCCCACAGTTCTCTCCGGCTAACACACGTGTCTCTGCAGGGGGCTTGATCATGGGCACAGGCATAGAGTCGTCATCCCACAAGTATGGCCTGTTTCAACACATCTGCACCGCCTACGAGCTGGTCCTGGCCGATGGCAGCTTTGTGCGGTGTACGCCGGTGAGTTCAGAGACGGAGATGTCCAGGCCAGACTGCTCTGGGCATCAAGGAACCTGAGGTTGGGGAGTGCTTCATTTCAAATATGCCTGTTCAGTGCTTCATTTCAAATATGCCTGTTCATTTCAAATATGCCTGGATCTATATCTATGATAGCAAAAAGTGTATATAGTCCCTTAGATATGCTTAGGCAATATTGTAAATGTTGAATATATACTAAGGCATTTAACCCTTCAACAATCTTATGAGGTAAACACTGTTACTATCCCCATTTTATAGGTAGCACAGAGTGGTTAATCAACTTGCTCTGGGTCACACGGTTAGTAAATCTTACATGGCTGAAACTTAAACCTTGGTGATATGACTCCCAGATCCTTGCCCTTAGCCTTTTTTTAGACCATACCGCCTGGAGGAATTCAAGCCTCAGCATCAAAGCACTGTATCAGACCGGGCATGGTGGCCCATGCCTATAATCCCAGCATTTTGGGAGGCCGAGGCAGGAGGATTGCTTGAGCTCAGGAGTTTGAGACTAGCTTAGGCAACATAGCAAGACCTCATCTCTACAAAAAATAAAAATTTTAAAAAAAATTGGCCAGTCATGGTGGCACATTGCCTGTAGTTCCAGCTACTCAGGAGGCTGAGACAGAAGGATTGCCTGAGGCTGTGGTGAGTGGTGATCATGCCTAGGTGACAGAGTGAGACCCCAACTCAAAAAAAAAGATAAAAAAGCTCTATGTCAGATATTATGAGGTATAGTCATGTGTTACTTAATAATGGGGATATGTTCTGAGAAATGTGTTTTTAGATTGTCATTGTGTGAATGTTGTTGTATAAGTGTGTTCTTTCTTTCATAAACCTAGATAGTATAGCCTACTATACACCTCCTGTTCCTAGGCTACAAACGTATGTATGTTGCTGTACTGAATACTGTATGCTATTGTAGCACAATAGTAAGTATTTGTGTATCTAAACATAGAAAAGGTACAGTAAATACAGTACAAAAGATAAAAATGGTGTACCTGTCTAGGGCACTTACCATGAATGGAGCTTACAGGACTGGAGTTGCTTTGGGTGAGTCAGTGGATGAGTGGTGGGTGAATATGAGGGCCCAGACATGACCGTACACAATTGCAGACTTTTGTAAATACTGGGCACTTAGGCTACAATACGTTTATTTAAAATATTTTCTCTTCTTTAATAATAAATTAACTTGAACTTACTGTAACTTTTTAACTTGATAAACTTCTTAATTTTTAAAAACTTTTTTACTCTTAGTAACGCTTAGCTTAAAACACACACACATTATACAGCTGTACAAAAATATTTTCTTTTTTTATATCCTTGTTCTGTAAGTTTTTTCTATTAAAAATTATTTTTAGCACTTTAAACTTTTTTGTTAAAAACTAAGACATGGGACAACCCCTTCGGGTCCCCACCCACTGTGGGAGATTTTCTGTCCTCTCAATAAATCCTGCTTTCTCAAAAAAAACTAAGTCACAGACACACATATAGATAGCCTAGGTCAACTCAGGTCGGGATATTTTCTGTGTAAGGTTGTGATGGTCTTTGTGTAAGGTTGCGAGTTTTGTAGAGTATTTTTTGTTCTCAGACATGCAAATACACCTATTTGTCAGGGTTTTTTTTTGTAACATTAACGATTCCATTTTGAGTATGACAGCTTCACATGGTACATGACTATATAGCTAAAATTGATCAGAAAGACTGTTTTGGAGAAATAAAACAATTCTACCACTCAAACTGGGACACAGACGTTTAAGGCATTTTACCTAAGAAAGGGGATGAGATTGAAACTTTAAATGACCTCACATCTATCCTAGCACATGTGAGGGGACCCTGGGATGGGAGGGACAGTCGATCCTTTCGAAGGGGGTATGTCAGAGAGTCACTAGGATTGTTGGCCTTATAAGCAGAGTCCAGGGAGAGACTCCCAGCTCGAGGGCACTGGTCTTGGACCAGCGATGCCCCCAGTGGGATTCACATTCATTCAGCACATTTTCCTGAACACTCATGGGGCCCTGTCTTCTATTTACTATCAGCAGAGAAAGGAGACATGCATTCATGAATGACGTCTCTGCTCTTAAGACCCTGGGTCCTCACCTGGCAGATGTGTGGTCAGAGGCTGTCTGGGAAGCTCCTTGAAGAGAGCTAGGCATGCAGTTGATGCCTAGTTACCACTGCCATAATCAGGACCGTGTGGTTAGCTAGTAGCCCAGATGGGGGATCGGTGGGCCCTGCTCTGCTGTTCCAGAGGCTTCTGCTGGCCTACTGCAGAGCTTCTCTGCTGCAGCTCCCTGGCACCCACCATGGCCACCGCCAAGGGCATTCAGACTTAACAGAGACTGCCCAGGACTGTCCTCTTGGTAAAGGCAAGACAAGACTGGGCTATTTCAAAAGCAGCTTTTTTAGAGCCAAAGAATTTCAGTTAGAAAGGCCAAGGAAAAATCAATTGTCTCTGAGACAAATGTCCAAACAGGAAAATGATGGGGTTAGAAGTAGGTTCATGGAAGCAGATGAGGTGTTGTAGGGAAATCGCTGGATGAAAAGTTAGGTGATCTTGCCTGAGGCTGTCATTGCCACAGCTGACTCTCTGGGAAGTGTTAGGTGAGTCATGTCATCTCTTAAAGATGCACTTTCCTTACCTGTCATAAGGGTTGCTAATGCTCCCCCTGGGCTTGGTGGAGGTAGACCCCACAAGCTAATGGACTGGGAAAAACTTTGAAAATTTTCGTAAAGGCTCAGAGGGAGGCATTTTAATGTTCTGTGGCTCACAGTAAGGGTTCAGCTCTTTTCTAGCCTGGCCTTTGACCCTGCCCCTGAGGCCCCCATTGTGGGTCATGGGCAGTGCTAGTCACAGCTTTCTTCCTGGGTAGCCTCTGGTCTATGTCTGCACCTAGATGAAGAGGAAGGATGCTCTCTTAGTGAGCATCCCCAAGACAGAGGGCAGAGAGGAAACTACAGCCTAGCAAGTACAGTTTGTAAAGTCGGTTGTTGGGTAGACACCAAATCGTGACAGGATAGGAATTTACCCAGGCCCTGGGTTCATTGACTGCATGCCACCCTGTGGGCTCCAGGGCTACACCTCTTAACATGTGTCAATTCTGTCTCGCAGTCCGAAAACTCAGACCTGTTCTACGCTGTGCCTTGGTCCTGTGGGACCCTGGGCTTCCTGGTGGCTGCCGAAATCCGTATCATCCCTGCCAAGAAGTACATTAAGCTGCGGTTTGAGCCAGTGCGGGGCCTGGAGGCTATCTGTGACAAGTTCACCCGCGAGTCCCAGCGACTGGAGAACCACTTCGTGGAGGGGCTGCTCTACTCCCTGGATGAGGCTGTCATCATGACAGGGGTCATGACAGATGAAGCAGAGTCCAGCAAGGTAGGCCAGGCTGTCAGCTGCTGCAGACCAAGACTGGAGAAGCGGAAGACCTGGGTGGGCTGGGACTGAGCCCGTTACCTCACCCTGACCCTGGTGGCCATCTCTTTGAGACTACTCCCTGGGTCAGCCCACTTGGGGTCTACAATCAGGCAGCGGGGTCTACAATCAGAGATGTCTTGGGCAGTGATGAAAGCCTCCTGCCACTTACCAGAGATGTGCCCATCTCCTGATAGATGTCATCTTTGGTCCCCACAGCAACCCCATGTTATGAATGAGGAAACGGAGGCTCCAAGAGGTTGTGTAAACTTCCACAAGATATCAAAGCCAAGATCTGAGTCCTTGATTGGTTGCCTTGGAATCTAGTTTGACCTCCTTCCATTTACATTGTATAATTTTTATTCACAATTTTTTTCCCTCCATTTAGTAAGGATGTATGCCCATCATAAGAGACTTGGAAGGTATAAACATTAAAAACAAAGTCTAGACTCCACCTATTAACATGACTCAGAGCCAGCTGTTGCTAATGTGTTTAGTGTAGAGTCAGATCCCTGTGTCTGTGGGTTTTGTATCCAAGGATTCAACTAATTGCAGATAGAAAATATTTGGGCAGGAAAATGGATGGTCTCATCTGTATTGAACACGAACAGACTTTTTTCTTGTCATTACTCCTTAAGCATTACTCCTTAAACAGTATAACAGCTATTCTGTAGTATTTACATTTTATTAGGTTGTATACATAATGTAGAGATGATTTAAAGTATACAGGAAGATATGCATAGGATATACACAAATACTAAGCCATTTTATATGAGGAGCTTGAGTGTCCATAAATTTTGAGGGGCCCTGGAGCCAATCCCCCATAGATACTGAGGGGCAACTGTATTTACTTCCCTTTTTCTGTGCATAGCTTTTAAGTTTTCAAATTACAGAAATGGTGTAACAATGCTGAAATATATAAAGAAAAAGCTTAAATGAATCTCTTTGTACCCGAATCCTTGTGTGCAATCTTCCTGACCTGCTGCTATGTGTGTGGTATGTACATGGGCACACCCTCATCTCATTTGATAATATCTCACTGTTGCACGTAAATAATTGGTCTCACTAATCGCTTACTGATAAGCATTTATGTTGTGTAAATTCTTTTGCTCTTACAAATAAGATTGCATTGAGGGTTTCAGATTCTCCTTACATCGACCCTTGTCTTTTTGTGCAAATATTTGTGTAGGATTGAGTTTTTTTTAAAAAAGGTGGAATTTCCGGCCCATGGGTTTGAACACATGAACTATTGATAGCTATGACCAAGCAGCTTCCCAGGAGAGCCATGTGTATGCCCACTAGCAGCAATGGTATGCAAGAACGCCTTTTCCCTCCTTCCTTGCCAACACTGGATAGGATCATGCTTTCATTTCTGCCAATCTGATAGGGTTAAAAATAGCATCTCGTTTTATTTTCAGTTCTTGGATCACTTGTGAGGTAGAGCATCTCTTTGCTGAGTTTTTCAGTTTGTTTGTCTTTGTCTGTGATCACCTGTTCAAATGTGTCTTTTCTTGTTTAGTTTGATAAGCATTTCCCTGTGGTGTCAGACTACCTGCATAACTGTCATAGTCGATGGCTGTCTACAGAACATTACCTTGAGCCAAATGCCCTGTCACTGCCCCTTAGTTAGAAAGTTGCTTCCAGTGTTTTCATTATTTTAATTAATGGAGCAATAAGCATCTTTTGTTTGTAATTTGAATAATATCTTAAAGTAGAATTAGATCAAAGGACAGGCACTTCTTAAGGCTCTTGATCTATACCTGTATACTTAAAACGTTTTAAAATTCAAAAGGACTAGAAAAAGATCTGGTACCATGCCCTCTCCAAATAACGAAACAAGGCCCAGAGAAGGAAAGAGACTCTTCTGAGGACACACAGCTAGCACTGGGCAGATTTAAATTCTGGTCTCTGATTCCTGGTTCGACATTGGCTCCTCCACAGCTTCTAGACTGTAGCACCACTCACAAACACGGATCACTGTGGGACACTGTGGCACGTGCGGAAGATGGGGCCCTGGAACAATGGTGGCAACACTGAACATTGAGCCAAAGTGTGCTGGCCCTCCCGGGGCCCTGCCTCTGCCAGACCTGGCCAAAGACCTGCCAGCTTGTGTCACCTAGCACCTGATCCCCTAGCAGGGATGTCTAGACCAGAGGTTTTCCAACTGCTCTGAGGTATTCCCTTGAGACTCAGTAAGAGTAAAGCTGAGGGAGGGGACCAAGAGGAGTCACCAGCTCCAGTATCCAGGGCGCCTCTGCTGTCATCTGTTTGATGTTTTAGATTATAAGGTTACAATTTGGCAGAGGGGTTTGTGCAGCTATTAAAATGTGTGAACACCTGACCTGAATCCCTTATTTCCCCAGGAGAGACTCTGGCTCAGAGGGCCTTACCCAGAGGCTCTCTGGGAATCGGTGGCAGAGGGGTATTTGCCAGGTGCCCAGTGAGCAAGACCCTGATCCCCAATGAGGACAGGAGAGTGAGTGGCAGATACCATTAGATGTATGGACGTTTCATCTTACGAGCAATTTTTCCCAGAATTCCTGTCAGGAAGGCTGCTCAGGAATGTGTTCATGTGTGCCGGGCATTGTGATGGGTCCTTTGGAGGTACTGCCTGTGTGAGGCTCACTGTAGTCCTGCGAGGAGGCAGCCACCCCTATTTTCCAGGGGAGGCCCAGAGATAGGAGGTGGCTTGCTGTCATGGTGCTGGAGCTGGATTAGACCTCGTGCCGCCACCTGGCCTCCTCAGCGGCTGTGTGCCCAGAGGGATGGACAGTCTGGGTTCTTTATCATATCCTGGGCTTCTCTGGCATAAACATCACCTGATGGGTGAACACCTGTGAACACCAAGAGCACCGGGGTCCAGGTGCCCTCTAAATCTTGCTTTCGTGATGTAGCCAGTGCCATCACCAGGTGTGTGTGAGGCCTCACCTGGGGCTGCATCAGGTTGCTCTATTTCCTGCTGGGTTCTCGCCTTCACAGGCAGAGGCCAGCATTAGTGTCTTTTGCCCTGTCTTGTTCTAGCCACACCTAAACTGACCTGGGTGAACAGGCTCTTTGGTCCCAGATTCCTGGTCCATCATGGCCTGGTTTCCTCCCTGCAGGGTGGGCTTGCACAGAGGGTGACATCCAGATACGCGGCAAACGTGAAAGACCAGAGGTCAAGGGCAACGGGTGGCCTGGCCCCAGGGTGGAGGGGGTTGGCAAGGGGATGAGTAAAGACAGGCCAGCGAGGTCGGGGGACTGACACTGCCCCTCGTGGCCAGGCGTCGTGCTGGGCACTTTCTATGTTATCTCTTTTAGTCTTCCCAGCCACTCTAGGGGGTAGCACTGTCTCCATTTTTCCTGTACAGAAAATGAGGCTCAGAGACACTAAGTAACCTTCCCAGAATAGGCCAAGAGGGTTGAAAGTGGAAAAAGCAAGTTGGCAAACAGTATGTATAGGATGGTCCCATTTTTATAAAAACAGTGTGTGTGTGTACATGCATGTGTATGTGTGTGTATAGTTTCTAACAGGCACACAGAAGATCCCACCAAGTATATATCTTTATTGTCATTCACATGGGAAGAAACAGACTCAGAGAGTTACCTTCCTAAGGCCACACAGCTAGTGTGACTGGGCCAGGATGTGGCCCCAGCCACCCAACCCCGGAGCTTTGTGCTCTTTGTTCCATGGTTGAGGACACTGAGGCCCAGAGAAAGCTCAGTTAGCCCAGGGCACAGAGCAAGTTGAGTCCTGACCATCTAGGGCTAAAGAAGACACCAGCTCAATATATGATTTGGGTGCTGGGGCCCATAGGGCCGATGCCAGGGAGACGTGAGGTTTATCCTTGTGAGCATTCTGGAGATGGTGGTGGCTGCCTGGAGAGTGCTGTACCCAGGGACTGTGGAGCTTGGTTCAGGGAAAGCGCTGTGGACCCTGGGTTGCAGGGATGGTAGGGGTGACCCAAGCCCAGTGTTTTTGCCAACACTGGCCTCAGCAGAGGTGAGAGGAGGCAGGGAATCCCCCGCATGGAGCACTGCATCAGGGCAGACACTGGTAAACATTTGCACAGGCTAGGATGGGGTCGCTGAGTTCTGTAGACTGTCAGGGACTCACTGTTTGGCCCTGGGCACACACCACTTAACCTCTTTGAGCTTCTGTTCTCTCTGCTGGAGAATACCCGCTGTGCCTAACCTCGCCCGGCTTTTAAGAGTCTCAAAGGCAGTAATAGACATGAAAGAGCTTTGAAAAGGCCAGGAGTGCTGCACAGAAGCTGGGTATCACTGTTACGCCCTGATAGCACTGGGCGCTTGTCTGTGGGCTGATCACAATGCCCTCTGTCATTTCAGCTGAATAGCATTGGCAATTACTACAAGCCGTGGTTCTTCAAGCACGTGGAGAATTATCTGAAGACAAACCGAGAGGGCCTGGAGTACATTCCCCTGAGACACTACTACCACCGCCACACGCGCAGCATCTTCTGGGAGCTCCAGGTGAGGCTTGGGTTTCCTCCAGCTCTGGTTCCTCCAGGCTGGCTAGGCAGAGAGCCAGGACGGTTAACATTGGAGCCACACTCTCTGCCTTCAGGGAAAAGAGTGACTTTGTCCTAAGGAACTAGGATGCCTTCTCAAGCGGCAACACAGCCGTTTCCTTCTGAGGGAACCAACCACATTCAGTTAAAGCAGAGGCTCTTACAAAGCATCTGCTTGGCACCAGGAAGTGGGCCACCGGGCGGTCCTGGGGGACACAGACCTGTTCCGTCCTAGAGGAACAGTTAGCCTTGCCAAGCAGACAGATCCTGGCACTGGAAAGGGCCCTGAGAACAGAAGGAGGGAATAGCCAGCTCTGTCTAGGGCTCGAGGTAGCAGTCAAACTTGGCCTTCAAAGGTGAGCAAGACTTTGCTGTTGCATGTATGGAGGGGTGGATGGATGGGGAGCAGTGACATTTTAAATAAGAGGGATCAGGGAAGGCCCCTTAGGGGATGACTTGTGAGCAGAAACCTAGGGAGGGCAAGCCAGGCAGCCCTTGGGAGAGTGCCCAGAGAAACAGCCTGAGACCAGGCTTAAACTGGGCTAACATAAAATTAGCCGTTGTAAAATGTATAGTTCAGAGGAATTTAGTACATCCACGGTGCTATTCAGTTACCATCTCCATCTAGTTCCAAAGCGTTTTCATCACCCTAAAAGGAAACTCCATGCCTGATAAGTAGTCACTCACTCCCCATTCCTCCTTCCCCCAGCCTATGGCAACCACCCATTTGCTTTCCATTCGTGTGGATTTACCTGTTCTGGATATTTCATATAAGTTGAATCATACATGAGCCTTTTGCAAATGGCTTATTTCGCTTGGCATAATGTTTTCATGTGTCAATATTTCACTTCCTTTTTTGGCTGAATAGTTCTTCATTGTGCATATAGGCGACATTTTGTTTTTCCTCTCATCTCTTGAAGGACATGTGGGTTATTTCAACCTTTTGGCTACTGTGAACCATGCAATTTGAACAGGCATGTACAAGTACTTATTTGAATACCTGATCTCAATTCTTTGGAGTATAAACCTAGGAGTGGAATGACTGAGTTCTATGCTAATTCTATGTCTGACTTACAGAGGAACCCTCAAACTGTTTTCCACAGAGGCTGTGCCATTTGACATTCCCACAGGCAATGTATGAGTGTTCCAGTCTTTTAGCATTCTCACCAACACTGGTGTTTAAGTTGTTGTTGCTATTGCTGCCGTCTTACTGAGTATGAAGTGGCATCTCATTGTGGCTTTGATTTGCATTTTCCTAATGACTACTGGTGTTGACCATGTTTCTGTACGTATGTCAGCCATTTGTATATCTTCTTGGGTGAAGTTTCTTTTCAAGTCTTTTGCCCCCTTTTTAAATTGGGCTGTTTGTCTTTGTGGTTGAGATGTAAGAGTTCTTTTATGGATGGTAGACCCTTATCAGACATGATTTGTAAATATTTTCTCCCATTCTGTATGTTTCTTTTCACTGTCCTGGTAATGTCCTTTGATACACAAAATTTTTTAATTTAGATGAGGTACAGCTTATCTGTTTTCCCTTATATTGTTTGTGCTTTTAGTGTCCTATCTAAGAATCTATTCCCAAATCCAAGGTCATGAAGATGTACCCCTCTGTCTTCTTCTAAGAGCTTTAAGATTCTATCTTATATTTAGATTGTTGAGTGACGTCAGAGTCCAACTCCATTCTCTTGCATGGAGCCATCCAAGTGTCCTAGTTGGCTGCATGTGTTTGAAAAACAGCAAGAAGGCCGCTGAGCCATGGTGGGGAATGAGGTCAAACAGCCACCAGAGGCTAGATCATGTGGCTCCTAGTAGGACAAGAAAGACTTTATATTTTATTCTAAGTGCGAAAGAAAGCCAGCGAGGACTTTGAGTAGAAAAAGTGACATGACCTGATTTTTGTTTTAAAAGAATAACTTTGACAGCCGGATGGAGAGTGGGTGGGGTGGGAGGCGGACAGAGCGGAAGAGTAGAAGAAAGATTTCTGGTGTCCAGGACAGCAGCAGACAACAGGAGGCGGAAAGAAGTGCCAGATCTGGGAGATGTTGAAGGCTGAACCAACCGGCAGCATCTCCAGGCAATTGGCTGCGGGTGTGATCCCAGGTTCGGGAACCAAGAACTGGGTGAACGGAGGTGCTCTTGGCTTCCATGGGACGTGTGAGGGAGGGGCTGGGAAGGGGAATCCAAAGTTCCGCATGGGACATGTCGGCTTGAGATACCGTTCAGGCCACCAGGCAGGACAGCAGCAGGGGCTGGCTCGTGTGTCAGGACTTCAGGAGTTCAGTGGATGTTGGGACTCCACACCCGAAAGTGGGCACCAGCTGCAGGGAAACGTTATCGACAGCCATGCAGGTCGGATGGGTGAGGGTTTTACAATATTCATAAATACAATGAATAGGCTGGATATGGTGGCTCATGCCTGTAATCCCAGCATTTTGGGAGGCTGAGGCAGGAGGATCCCTTGAGCCCAGTTCCAGACCAGCCTGAGCAACATAGCAAGACTATCTCTACAAAAAAAAAAAAAATATATATATATACACACACACACACACACACACATATTAGCCAGGTGTGGTGGCACACACCTGTAGCCCCAGCTACTCTGAAGGCTGAGACAGAAAGATTGCCTCAGCCCAGGAGGTTGAGGCTGCAGTGAGCCTTGGTCGTGCCACTTCGCGCCAGCCTGGTCGACAGAGCGAGACTGACTCAAAAACAGGAAAGAAGGAAGAAAGAAAGAGAGAGGCTGACATATCCAGTTTCTTTCCCAGAAACTTTGGACTGGATCTTATAAACAGAAGCCACGTCTGTGTCTTGGGCGGCACCGAGACAAGATGATGGTAGATACCTGCACCATTGCTCCCCAGACACAGGGCCCATACACCATAGGGAAGAGATGTGTAGGACAGTTCAAGTAGGTAACATCAAGATTGTTTGGACCTGCAAGCTGGATTTATGGTAAGCACTACCCTTAGACAAGGAACAGTAGATATACTGAAAATCTTAGAGGCCATCCCTGAACAGGGATTAATTAGAAACCAAAATGGCGGATTAGCAGACAAGAGGGAGTTGCTTGAGCCTTCACAATATAGCCTCCCAGAAGCCACGGGAAGACTGTCTCAAAAAGGAAGAGAACCAACTGTGTCAAATGCTACTGAGGGTGGTGAGGACAGAGAGTGACCTCTGGTCATTGTTGACTTTGGGCGAAGGGTTGAAGCTCTGACCAATGAGTTCGAGGAAGCATAAACCATGAAAACAAACCTGAGTGGCTCACATAAAGGAAAGCAGAGAAGTAGGGTGATAACTGGAGGGGGGTTTAGGACCAAGAGAAGCTATTTTGTTTGTGTGACAGTTTTAAGACTGGAGAGATGATAGCATGTTTATGTGTTGTGAGAATGATCCAGCAGAGGAAGAAATGCCAGTGCAGGAGAGCAGGTGTATTTACTAATAGGGCAAAGTCTTGGGTAGGGGAGGGGGGCGGTTCCTGTGCTCAGGTGGAGACATTGCCTTTGACAGGGATGCAGTGCTAATAGAATGGATACAGTTGCTATGGATGGGAGGCTGATGTGATGGTGGAGGGTGTGGGAGTTCTGATGGCTTCTATTTTCTCAACAAAACAGGCAAGGATTTCAGCAGAAACGAGAGGGGAGGGGATGTCGGCAGCTTGCGGAGAGATGTGAAATTGTCCTTTGGAGAGTGGGAAATGAATTATTTGGGGCAATGCCACAGATTTGCAGCAGCTCTGGGTCTACCTGAGACTCACGCTCCTGCATTTACAGCGACCAGCCCTGTGACTGTTCAGCTGTGTGGGTGAGTGGAGTAGGTAGAGAGGTGTATTTAACCTTGGGTGAGGTGCTGCAGGAGAGTGTGCGGAGCAGGCAAGAGTGAGGACCCTCGGGCATGGTTCTGATCACGAGTCTAAGCCAGCTGAGAAAGGAGACAGGATGTGAGGGGCTTCCAGGGACTGACGAGAGGCCAATAGGGTAGACTGGACGCCCCAGGTGGGGTGAAGCCTTGAAGTCAGGGTACTAGTGGTATGGACCCGAGAGTTGGTGATGTCAGGGGCAAGCACTTGCAACTGATACTGTGGAGACAATGCGTACAGGCAACAGAACAAAGCCTAGGGGTCGGCGGACTTTCTTAAAGGGCCACACAACAAATATTTTAGGCATTGCAAGCCACAGAGTCTCCCAGCCACTCAGATCTGTCACACAAAAACAGCCACAGGCAATAAACGAATGAGGTGACTGGCTCCACCGAAACCTTATTTACAAAAACAGGCAGCAGAACAGATTTGACCAGCAGGCTGGCTTTGGCTCCCAAACGGCTCCCCACGGGCCATCATTTCTGTCCCTTCCTCGAGGGTGTCACATGAGAGTCAGTGGCCAAGGACATGTGGAAGATCAGGTCACCATAATATTAAAAAAAAAAGGAGGTCAGGAGCTGGGAGGCCAAACATGGGCTGGACCATCTCGGTGGGGTTTTTTTTTTTTTTTTTTAAAGAAACATGATCTCACTCTGTCACCCAGGCTGGAGTGCAGTGGCACAGTCATAGCTCACTGCAGCTTCAACCTCCTGGGCTCAAGCAATCCTCCCACTTCAGCCTCCCAAGTAGCTGGGCCTGTAGGTGCGTACCACCATGCCTAATTTTTAAATTTTTTGTAGAGACAGGTTTCACTATGTTGCCCAGGCTGGTCTTGAACTTCTGGCCTCAGGTGATCCTCTCACCAGGGCCTCCCAAAGCACTGGGATTATAGGCATGAGTCACTGTGCCCTGCCTTTCTGTGTGTATTAGAGAGAAAAGGAGGAGGCCAAGGTGCTGGGAGGCCAGATGTGGGCTGAACCATCTCTGTGGGTATTAAATCACCAAAAGTTAATGTTGAAGGAGGTAACAGTAATCCAGCATCCAGTGATGGGAGTGCTGGGGTGGGGGGGTGAAGGAGCATCCAGTGATTCGGGATCTGGAAAGGGGGAGCAGTGGGTGTGGGAAGAGATATTGGGCATGTGCCTCAATGTTGCTGAGGTTGGTCTGGGGGCAAGGGATGAAACAGAGAACTGGAAGCAGCAATGGGGCCCCAAAGGACTCTGCCTCAGCTTCATCGATGCCAGTGCAGGCGGGTCTTAGGGGGGAAATGATACCACTGAAGAGGGCTTCCAAGGACAGGCAGGGTCCATTTAAGAACATGGAGAGGAAAAGATTGCTCAGAGGAGAGACTGATGCTGGAGGGGGTCTTTCGAGGTCATGCCACAAAAGAACAAAGGAAGGGCTTGGGAGATCGAGGGCAGTGGCTGATTAAGAGATGCTGTGTTGCTGTAGCAGGTTAAATATGCAGGTAATGAGACACCTGGAAGGCCTTGGCAACTAAGAAACAGGATGGAGGCATGATCGAATACACCTGGTGCGCTCTTAGGAGGAAGTGATTGGTAAGGTGTGATGCTGGGCTCGGTCCCTTAGGCAGATGCGATAGGTGGTGGCAGGGGTGAAGGGTGTCTCATCACAGCCTGGGGGGCTCTGGGGTTCCCCCGTTAGTCCTACCTTGGACAGTATCAAGGCCCAGAGCAGGTGGAAGGCAGTTTTGCCAAGGGCAGAAGATGCTGTGAGTCCTTCATCCCTGCCGAGAGCACTGTTAAGGTTGGGGAGGTCTGATTTTATTAAGAGCAAGAATTCAAGAGACAGGAAAGAGGAGCCCGGGAGAGACGATGAGAAACCATCAGAAAGAGAACAGGAGTTACCATGAATCACTCCTGGTGTGGTAGATGTTATGCTGAATACATGACAAGCTTCATCTTCCCAACAACCCTGTGAGGGTAGGCACTCGTGTCATTTCCAGTTCACAGATGAGGAAACTGAGGTTTAGGTTACCCAAAGTAAGTATCACAACTCAGTGAGAGACAGAGTGTATTAGTTATTCTACTGCTTCAGAGTAAACTAAACCAGAGGGTTAAAACATCTACCTTGCAGCGTCTGACAGTCGAGGATTTGGGAGTGGCCCTGGCTCAGGGCCTCTCATGGTGACAACTGGGCAGCAGGTCATCTGGAAGCTTGATGGGAGCTGGAAGATCCCCTTCCAGGAAGGCTCCCCCACATGGCGGTTGACCAGAGGCCCCAGTTCCTTGCCACATGGGCTCCTTGAGTGTCCTCACGAGGCAGGTGATTCAAGAGAGACCAAGGAGGAGTCTGCAGTGCCTTTTATGGCCCTCAAGCCATGCCTGTTACCTCCACCATCTTCTACTTATTAGAACCAAGACACTAAGTCCAGCCCACACTCCGGGGAGGGCATTAAGCTCGGGCCATACTTTAAAACCACTGCACAGAACTGGGATTCAAAATAGGGTTTGTCTTATATTTCTGTGCTGTGAAATGAACACTGGCCTACACTGCCTTCAGCAAAGGTAGAATCTGGAAGAATGGGCTGGTAGTATATTAGAGAGACTTGGCTCTACATCTGTGAGGGTGCCGGGAAGCAGGACAGGGCAGGGGAGATGACAAGCGGGGGTGCAGTCCCAGAGAAGGCCTCAGCCAACTCACAGGGATCCCCGGGTCAGATGGCTCTCCAGGGTTGTGTCACCTCAAGGCATGGCCAGGACTCTACACCGCACCTCACCCCATCAGCCCACCACTGTGGGCCTGACCTTGGAGGAATTGCTCCCGTCTACCAAACCGCTTCCCTGGTATAATTCCTCCCCCTCTTGGGGGCCGTTCCTCCCTGCCGAAGGAGGCCCTTGAGTGAACCCAGTGTGGCCAGGCCTGGGCGCTGAGCCCCTCACGAAGCTGCCTTCTGGGGATTGGCCCATCGCGATCAACTTGTGCCAGGCCTGGCTGGTTCAGTCACTTCCCCTCCCCGGTCTTGGTCAATCAGCAATACTTGGGGTCAGGGTCTGCGGCATCATTTGCAGGGCCCAGGACAAAAAGCAATCAAAAAGTGCCATTGAAGGTACTAAAATATAGAGCTTTTTCCCTTCTTCCGTGGTCTCTCTCTTGTCGTAAATATTTGCAATTTAATGTCATTCTAAGTAAAGAAAAATTAAAAATTTAAATTATTAGCATGAATGTTACTGTTCATTTTAAAAATACAAATATAAGAGCATCTAAGTCCTCATGCATATGGATTTCCTGGTTGCATAAAACTAACTCGACTGTTTTTATTTCGCCGCTTTGCTACATACACAGCCCGCCAGCACTGCCTTTGGCTTACTGCTGAGGAAGGAAGGAATGAAAAAAGGAGCCAAGCGTAGCCCTGACTTGTGCTTTCCTTCTGTGTCACCATTTCAGCATAAGCAGTTGGCTGACACAGGGCATTAATAGCAGTAAGAGAGGATACTACAGGGCCCTGGTGTTCAAAGCAGGCTGCCGTCCCTGCCCTAGGCTGGGCCCTTTGGTTCTGCTGGAGTCCCTGCAGCCCAGTGGGGCAGAGATGGCCAGCAGCGGGCAGGACACGGACAAGGGCAAGGGGGACCAGAGAGCAAGGGCTGAGGGGGACAAGGCTGCAGTGAGGGTCCCTGGAGTGGCCAGCCTCATCGAGTGGGCGGGACAAGTTCCCAGTATCCCTGGTCACTAAGGAACAGAGGGTAAGTAATGGGTGGACAGAGGTGGCGAAGGAGAGGGGCAGGGCACATGTTTAAAACTTGAACTTGCTGAGGCTGAGGCTAGAAAAGGAGTGGTTTCAGCTGATATGTTTGGCTAACAATGGGCTGTTTTTAGCAGGAGAAAACACACACACAAATGGCTTTTAAACACAAGAAAGGTGATGCAGTCTCACCAGAATTAGAGACAGGCAAGACAAAACTACCCAAGTCTCATTTTTCACCTGCCAGAGTGGAAGACAATCTAGAAGTCTGATAACACACTGTGCGGACGGACGTCGTCTGGGAGAGTATAAAATGGTACAAGCTCTGAAACAGTAGCCACTAAAACTGCACACACCATTCGAACCAGAATTTTCCACTTCTAGGCATTTATCTTACAGACACTAATAAATGGGCATAGGCGCCTGGACAAAGGACTGTCCATTAGTGTAGAACTGATTGCACAAATTTTTACAGTGCATCCATACAACAGAGCGTGAGTCAGCCCTTTCCTTTTTATGGAAAGGGCTAGGTAGTGAACAGTCCAGGTTCTGTGGGCCATAACATCTCTCTGGTAACTACTGGACCCCTGTGTACACATTAGGCGCCTGCCACCCAATACAGTAGCACTGTCTGTTGGTACACAAGATACAGTAATGAGCAGGGCGCCCTAAAAATCCATTTGTGGGTTTTGCTTTTTGTTTTTTTAAAGTCCATCTGCTTGTCTACGCATCAGATGTTTCCAGAAGGCTATGTAAATAATTCATGCCAATGGTTGCCCCTGGGGAGAGGGAGGAGGTTGGGGTGGGAGGGTAACAGAGTCAGGAATGTGTGAGGAGGCTTAACCTTTGTACTGGTGGGATCTCTACTGCGGGGCGTGTGTTGTTTTTTCCAAAGATAACCAAGGAAACGCTCAAGCCATGCTATTTATTGAGCTCCTGTTGTGTGTCAGGCATTGATGTAGCTGCAGGGATCTAAGAAGAAATCAGGCGGGATGCTGCCCTCATGGGAGTGGTCTGGCGATCCCAGGGAGGGATCGTGAGGGGGGAGCCACTCAGCCATTGGCACATATGTGTGTGTCTGCTTTTGGGAAGCCACCCTTGGCCCCTGATCTGATAGGGACCCTTTCACAAGTGGCTCCTGCCCATCTCTGTTCCAGCAAGTCCCACACTACATATAGTCCAGTGGCCTGTCTCTTCCACACCTGAGGGAGTGAGCATCTTAAGAACAGAGACCAGGTCATTTGCTTTGTTAAACTCTGGTGTGTTCATGTGGCTCTTTGAGCTTTGGCCCCATCCCCTACCTTGGAGAGGTGAATCTCCTCTTTCTCTCTAATTTACTTTCTAAATAAACTATATTTTCCAATCCAAAAAAAAAAAGAACAGAGACCAGGCCTCGGTTATCTTGGTTTCGTAGCGCCCAGCCTAGGAAGAACCTGGTACTTGACCTCATAGACCCTCGTAATTGTCTAATGAATGAAAGAACAGCCTTGGCTTCAAGGGCCAGGAGCTATGGGATGGGGCATCCGGTGGACATGGTGACAATAAGGTGGCAAGACTTGGAGCAGGGAGAAAGATGGTGAGCCAAAGTCCTCTGTGTAGGGTGGGCAGGATGGCCATGGAGGAGCTGGGGGGAGCAGAGGGCATTGTCGGGGAGACACAGCGAAGAGGGAGGCGGTGCCCCCCCCCCCGTGTCAGTTTGAAGCGTGAAAAGGGAAGAACAGCGTCTGCTTGGGAGAGTTTCCAGGGAGACCGAGCTGGGGTTGGGGGAGGACAGGTGAGTGGTTAGGCTGTGAGCAAATGAAGCTGGAACCAACTGGCTCCTTGTCAAACTTGAGCCAGACTTCAACCACCCCGTGAGAGCTGCCCCCAGCTGTGTGACCTTGGGGAAGGTGCTTAGGCTTTCTGAGCATCACTCTTCTCATTCAGCAGCATTCATGTCCCAAACATTTATGGAATGCTTGCTCTGTGCCATCCCCTCTGCCTCATTACTCAGAACAGGCATGGTAGCTACATGATCATTTTGCTCCGGGCACGCGGCTAAGTGCCTTCCATCCAGTAGCTCATTATCTGCCCAAGCCCCATTTTACAGAAAGGAAACTGAGCTCAGAGCAGTTAAGTAACGAGCCCAAGGTCATCGCAGCTGGTGAATGCCAGCGCTGAGAATCAAACCTAGACCCGCCTGGCATCGTCCTAGGTACCATCACATCCCCGCAGGTAGGGGAGCTGTGCCCTGCACAGGACAAGCACTGGCCCTGGCCTCACGCACATGGAGACATTTGGCCTTGCTGGTCCCTCCTCTCCCCCCGACCTCTGTCTCCCAGGACATCATCCCCTTCGGCAACAACCCCATCTTCCGCTACCTCTTTGGCTGGATGGTGCCTCCCAAGATCTCCCTCCTGAAGCTGACCCAGGGCGAGACCCTGCGCAAGCTGTACGAGCAGCACCATGTGGTGCAGGACATGCTGGTTCCCATGAAGTGCCTGCCGCAGGCCCTGCACACCTTCCACGACGACATCCACGTGAGTGGGCGAGGCAGGGAGGGTGCCCCCACTGGGCTCCATGGATGCCTCGGTTCTCTCCCCTGAACCATGCCACCCATCTGGGCCAAGCCCACCCTCTGGGTCTCAGTTTTCCCAACTGTAAAATGAGGGCCTTGTCCCTACGCCTACTGAGGCCTTAGCTGGCTCAGCGATGGCGCCCATGGAGAGGCAGCGTAGGGCCTGGTAACCAGCATTCCCGTGGCCTGCCCCAATTGTGTCCTCCGGTGTGGTGGAGTCATGGTGTTCTCAGCCAGGGCTGGGTGCAGGGAGTGAAGCTGAGAGCAGACAGAGGGGGTCCCTGGAGAATGCGGCAAGGCCGCCTTTTGTGGGGGTGTGAGTGGGCCAGCCATGAGCCTGTCACTGTTGGAGCAAAATCACTAACACCCACCTGGTCTACCCAGGTCTACCCCATCTGGCTGTGCCCGTTCATCCTGCCCAGCCAGCCGGGCCTGGTGCACCCCAAGGGAGACGAGGCCGAGCTCTACGTGGACATCGGAGCGTATGGGGAGCCACGCATCAAGCACTTCGAAGCCCGGTCCTGCATGAGGCAGCTGGAAAAGTTTGTCCGGAGTGTGCATGGGTGAGCGGCCCAGAGTATCGTCCAGCCCCTCTGGCTGAGACCCCCGGGTGCTGCTCCAGGGGAATGAGTCAGCTCTGGAATGAGAACCAGAAGCCCCAGCTGGACCAGCTGGTTGTTTAGGGACCCCGTAGCCATGGCAGCCTCTGATTTGGGAGGCAAGTTGTGAAGGGTGGTCAGGAGGTAGCCTTGCAGGACTGCTTGCCCCTCCTTTCCCCACAGCCCCCTCCTCCACAAAGGGCAGATGAAGGGTGTGGGTTTAGATCTGTTCCGGGGTGGCTGCTCCAGATCAAAAGGCCAGAGCTATGGCGGGTGGGATTCCAGACCGTGAAAGCCTTGGAGAGGCTGGGACAGGGCATGGCTCAGAAAACAGCCTAGCACTGCTGGACAAATCTCGGAGGAACTGTGCTGGCCAAAAGAAGTGAGGGAAAAGGATGCTGTGTAAGCCCATGGGTCTAGAGTTCCATACAAGACACTTGCCTCCGTGTGGACAGAAGGCACATCAGTGGTTGCCTGGGGATGTCGCCGGGCAGCGGACAGCAGAGGCATGAGGAAGGTTTGGGGGTGATGGACATGACCTCTGTCTGGACTGTGGGTCCTTAATTGCATACCATGTCATGCTTATACAGCTGTACTCCTTAAACATGTGCAGCTTATTGAATATCAAGAACAGGTTAGAAGCCGGGGCCAGGCCCCGTGGCTCATGCCTGTAATCCCAACACTTTGGGAGGCTGAGGCCAGAGGATCGCTTGAGCCCAGGAGGTTGAGGCTGCAGCGAATCATGATCATGCCACTGCACTCCAGCCTGGGTCATCTAGGGAGACCCCAAGCAAAATTAAAAAAAAGAAAAGAAGGTTAAGAAGAAAACAGCCTTACCACTTCACCAGGGTAGGCAGCTGTATCTCAGGCCAAACAGAGCAGAGGAGCCCAGCAGTCCAAGTTCTACTGCTAACTCTGCCTCCACCACTAAGGCACTTAGTCCCCGAGCCCCAATTCCCCATCTTGCAGATGGGGATAAGAACTCCTGCACCACCCTGTGAAGGGGATTAAAGCAGAGAAATCCTCCAAGAGCACCTCCTGAGCTGCAAAGCATACTGGGTATAGGGGCGGTGGGATTTCTCTCCCACCCAGCCCCCACCCAGCCCCCACTTGCATCCTCACTCCCTTCTTTGCCTCTGCAGGTTCCAGATGCTCTATGCCGACTGCTACATGAACCGGGAGGAGTTCTGGGAGATGTTTGACGGCTCCCTGTACCACGAGCTGCGGGAGCGCCTCGGTTGCCAAGACGCCTTCCCCGAGGTGTATGACAAGGTCTGCAAGGCCGCCAGGCACTGAGCCGGAGCCTGCCTGGAAAGACAGATGCGTGTGGGTGGACAGGCATCTTCCCTTCACTTGAGCTTGGCTGCTTTCCCAGACCCACACTTCCAGAGAGAAGCCCCTCCAGAAACCTCGCTCAGACAGGCCAGCACCTTCCTCCCGGCTTCCTGGTGCAGCCCAGAGGAGTGGAAAGCAATGGGATTTGGAGTCAGATGTACCTGAGTCCAATCCCTGTTCGGCACTCATTGGCTGTGTGACTCTGAGTGTGTCTCAGCCCCTCTGAGCCCGAGTCCCTTCATCTGTTGGAAGGGGATAGCCATGCCTACCCGCATTGTTATCACTGAGTCCAGTGCTGCTCATGTGGAAGGTGCTGGGTGAGCGGTAGCTACTGCTGTTGCTTCCTGGCCGGCATCCTCTCTGCAGTTAAGTCTGAAAAGGCTCCACGCGAGCTCACCCGTGCATGGTCTTGGCTGGAACAATGAAGGGGATGCCCTGGAGTTGCCCCGCCATTGCCTCAGTCGGCCAGATGAGCCTCTCACAGGGGAAGGAGGGCTCCTCTCTCTACCCCGGGGGCATGGGAGGGCACCCAAGGGGGCGGGCAGGCCCAAGACGTGCTGTGCCAAAGCCAGGTCTGATTCCAAAGTTCTCCCTGCCGTCCATGGTGCCGCCCCACCCCTTCCTCCCTCACGCCCAGGTTCGCAGGCCCACTTCAACCATCCCTGAGTCCACGTGGGAAGGGCTGTGTTTCTGGAGAAGACATTTCAGGGCTGAATCCTGTCCCGGCTTCAGCCTGGCACACCCAGGTGGAGAGCGCAATCTCCGCCCTGAATTGTCAGGGACCTGGGCTCTTTCTTCCTGGCTCACCAACCCTCCAGGCCTCTTCTTGTCCCAGAACCCACTCCGTCATGGTGGGAGTGGGTCCCTACTGCTTGGCAGCTTGGGGGCCAGGGGTGGGCCACACCGAGTGGGCACACAGAGTCCATCAACATGTTTCTGTAAGGATTCTCACTGTGGGGCTGAAAAAAGAGAGCATCGACTGGATTCCTCCAACCACTCGTCCCTTTTGTTTCTTTCCCTGCCACCCCCCCC